TATTTATTTATTTTTACTTTTCCGATTTGTTACCCTTAAAATCATTTTTGCATTTGTACCATGGAACTACCGAGCAGAATAGCCGAGCTGAATGCCGCTATGTGAATGCGAGCGAGCTGCCGTAGCCTCGGCTCAGCCGATCCAGGTGTTTGATCGGCTGAGTCGCACTCCTTCTGCACTTTCGGCTCAGCCGTATAAACAGAGCCGATGTACAGTTGATTTTAGTCGGTGTACGGCTGAAATCAGCTGTACAAGCCTGTGGTGAATAGCCGAACGTCGTTGGGCTCACTTCACTTCGGGTGGGTGATTCACTTGGCTGCCTTTGGCAGCTTGGCGAATAACTCCCACATTTTTGGGCGAAACCTAAACATTTACATTAAAAGGATCAGAAGACGGTCGGTCCGTCCATTAGGATCTCCATCGGTCCGATTGCCCCCCGTCATGGTCATAATATCCCAGACGAGGAAATCGGTCGATGAAACAATACATTGTTTCCATTCGCTACTTGTTTTTATATTTGCAATTTCACGCCGGAGAATAATCGCCGATCTCAGCAAGCGACGCCGTCCTGTGTTCTACAAAGTCCGCCGCTATCCGCTCCGTCCCGACTTTGATGTTTTCCATTCTTTTTCTTTATGTTTTTTTTTTTAGAGAGAATTCTTTTGAGTCTGAATGTGTCGGGTGCATAAAATTACTTTATAAGTGTTCACAAACATAATTACATTTTCAATTGCAGCCTTTTCATCTTCACAAAGGAAAAGTGCTCATTTTCCTCCACTTTCGCGCGTGGTTATTTGAACGCATCGAAATATTCCGCCTCTGTTTTGGGGAAATGTAAAGTCCAATTCCTTTTGTGTTTTGTCTATAATAAACTTTGTGTTTTTTTTATACTTTGGAATTCTTCTTAAATCATCTAAAATTTAAGGCAGCATTAAACTCTGAAATTGTGTTTTCAATAAAGAACCCAGATTAAGTAAATATAAATAGCCCGGCAAAGTATTTTTTAAAATATTTTCACCCAAGCATTTAGAGTCATCATGTTTCCAAACAGCTCCAACTCTCTCAGCTCGGCTTCTCAGAACTTCCAGTTCCAGTCCAGTGCAGAATCACAACGGACAATACACTCTCCAGCAGCTATACATCTACTAGCCTAGAGAAGGGGGTAGAGATGCACCGATACTGATACTAGTATCGGTATTGGTGCTGATACCAAGTATTTGGGCGAGTACGAGTACTCGCCAAAATGCTCCGATATCTTCCCCGATAACTGAACTTCCAGTTGGAGCAAGATTTCCTCTGAACATGGAGCCAGCTTCCGTACGATCAGGTTTCCCCTTCCCCAAATTCCTACCAGACCTAAAGGGCTTTGTATGGCTTTTGGGGGGAACCCCACACTTTTTTTTTTTACTTGGGGGGGGGGAGGTGTCCCCCTGTCACATCCTGCCAAACAAGGGGTCACTGGAACATGAAATGATGGTAGAACGGAAACACAGAAACTCTCCAAAAATAACAACAACAAAAACTTTGGACTGGAGGATCACTTTAAAGTCTTTATACATTGTTGCAGTTTGGCGAGAAGTTGAAAAAAAACAAAAACACATTTGTTGTATAAAAAAAAAATTTAGTTTTCAGCTTGCAAATTAGCGAGCGGATAATATCAGTTTACAAACACATAATGAGTATTTTAAACCCTAAAGTGCTCATTAAAACTGATGTGGTCCTGTGTGGAGCGGCGCGGATTAATTCACCACTCTGCCTCATTTGTTTGCTAAGACACATACGAAGGCCCTTCCGATCTCCTTCTGAAAATACCAACTGACTAGCTGCCATGCTGATTATTTGACAATAACCCCCCCCCCCCCCCCCCCCCCCACCCCCACCCCCCACACCACCACCCCTTCCCCCGGGTCACTGACAGCGGAGGTCAGAGCAAAGGATTCAATTATGATCCATGAGTCTCCAGATCAGGGACATGCGGTCAGGGGAGGCAGGTGAAGCAGAGCCTCACCTAGTATTATGAAGAAAACAGGTGTAGATTTTATTTTTTTCTCTCTTCCAGATGCTCCGTGGCAGTGTATGATCTGAGGAGATACAAAGACTATTTCCATGCGTCACCCTGAATTCTTGCCATGGAATCATTGAGTAGAACTTTGCCTTACCCCTGGGGGTATGTAGGTCGTTTGGTGCTGCGCTATAGGTCTTCCGCAGCTGACCCCTTTAGTTCTCCATTCAACTCCTGAATCAATTTGATGCTCCAGTTAACAGCTTTTAGATTAGATTAGGGGTGTCGTTAGACCTTTTACCACCTGACTCTGGGGAATGGGGGGGAGGAAACCAGTGCTGTTGGTTGGTGTGCATGTTACCCTGGAAGGGGGGCAGAGGGGATGCTGGTGGTGCTCGCCCGGCTTCCTTATTGACCGGGAAGCCCTACTCCATGCTCTCTTGCCACAAGTGAAGTATCGGGCTAGGCATCGGAGCCATTTGGGCGAGCACTCGCCAAAATATTCCGCACCGATACAAGTATCGGTATCGGTGCATCCCTACTTTTTTTTTTTCCAAAAGTCTAACTGTTATTATACTATCAATACATTTTGTGTTCGGTATAGTCATAGATACTCATTTTAAGGAGGGTGAACCCCCAATCTCTTTAGCAATAACTACCTAGTCCGTTTTTATCCACCAGGTTAATTTGATGCTGAACGGGAAGCCAGTCATTTCGGCCTTCGCCGGCGACAAAGACGTAACCCGAGAGGCAGCTACCAATGGAGTTCTCCTGTACTTGGATAAAGAGGACAAAGTGTACTTAAAACTTGAGAAGGGCAACTTGGTTGGCGGATGGCAATACTCTACGTTCTCTGGTTTTCTGGTGTTCCCTCTGTGAAGATGCCTCGGGTGTGGGACATCGAACAAAATCTTTCACCTTTGTATTCCCGAAGATCTTTTTATTTATTTTTTTGTCATTGATGGATTGGTGTCTCTTAACCGGCATCTCGTGTTGGAACTTGGATTTACTCTGTCGCCGAATTTCAGTGACATTTCAAAAGAAAAATAAATAAATATTTTGTGTGTTTCAAGCTATATTTGGAATCCATCAGACAGTGACTCTATATGCTAATGTTACGACTAAAAGCTTTTCTGATTTATTTTAAAGGGGAATCTATGTGGCGGAACAATGGAACGTGGATTGACACGCTTTGAGGAGGACTTGGTCCGTTGAGTCACTTTTTTTTTGTGTTGTGGACTTCAATCAACATTTTGGCCTTTCGCTGCCAAAAAACAAAGTAAAAAGCAAAAAGCTTGATACAATTTATAATGTGAAACAGTAAGCTTTGTTGGTTGGTTGTAATGATCCCGATACCTTTGAGTTTCACAATCGTTGTTTCTAAATGGATGATCCAATTTGAGTCTTGATGTAATCTTATAAGTCATTGGTCATGAGTTAAAGGGGAAGTTTACCAGAATCTGAGAGACAGAGCCATCCGACCATTGTGCAGAGGCCCCACACTTGATCCCTTATTCTTTATAGAGAGACCCCGAATATGTCGCCCCCAAAAATGAAAGCGGTCCTTCAAAACTATGAGTGGAACCCCGACTGTGACCACCAGGTTTTGCCATGTTGATGAGTGACTTGGAGATCAATTCCAAACACACCTAAAAACTATGTGCAGAATCTGAAATTGGTATTTCAATGCTGATATATATGTTCACCTCTATAGTGTGGTCTCCCTGGTCCACTGCTCTAATGGAATCATCTAAATCTTTGATGGCCTTGCCCCATTGGCTGTGCAGAGAAGTAGATACATGATCAAATTAAGAAAGTCAATCCAAAAACTATCTCTATCCCCAAAAAAGTCTATCCAAAACTTAATTTTTTTGGCTTTGGATTGAAAAGGCAAAGGGTTAGGTCCTCTGTCTTTATGTATAGTTGCCCCATTGGAGACATTTTCCCTCATTTTCCTTTCTGTTGACAACTTCTTTGACATTGTGTCACTTGGACAAGACGTGGGCAGAAACCTCACCAATGGGGAACACAGGAGAACACAACAAATGTGTAAATCCTTCCACTCTCAATTCAGTTGTCCACCCCCCAGACTCTGGAACAACAAGGGAGAAAAATCCCTCCACTGGGGGAAACCAAGAAATACTAATATATACACAAGGACAGGAAGTGGAGAGAGGGGCAGGATGGAATCGCTCAAATGGGGACAAAGACAGTGGTGTCTTCCCCACTCTGTAAAAAACAAACAGCTTTGCGCAGGGTGACTGGTCTTGTCTCCGCCCCCTCCTGTAATAAAGACCGGTCACTGCTGCTCTCTCTTCCTGTGCAGGGTGACTAGTCTTGTCTCTGCCCCCTCCTGTAATAAAGACTGGTCACTGCTGCTTCCTCTCCTTGTGCAGGGTGACTGGTCTGGTCTCCGCCCCCCCCCCTATACATATTATTAGTAGGGGACCTGTTGGGTCCCACCCATAGCTCTGCCTTCTGCACAGGCTATCTACACCACATAGATTATGTTATTGCTATGTTGACAATTTAATATCTGGGTTGGCAAAAGCATTTGGTGCACAGGAAGTGTATTTCTGTCCTTTGTGATTAGCAAGATGAATGTTTTGGTGCCAGGAGTTCAGTTTTAAATGTAAATCCTATTTTTCCAAGTCCGTGAAAAGCCTTAGTGGACTTGAAAAAGTTTAGCCTAAATAATTGATGTTGCCTCTTAAGAATGGGACAAGTGGGTGAGAGGATTTAAAAAGGCATAAGAGATTTTTAAATTCCATGCTAGTTAGGAACTGGGACCTTGTTTAAATTCTCACCAATAACAAAACTATCTCCTATACACACATTTGCAAATTTTTAACCACCATGAAGGGGCACCTACACAAGGGGCACCTACGCAAGGGGCACCTACGCAAGGGGCACCTACGCAAGGGGCACCTACGCAAGGGGCACCTACGCAAGGGGCACCTACGCAAGGGGCACCTACGCAAGGGGCACCTACGTAAGGGGCACCTACGTAAGGGGCACCTACGTAAGGGGCACCTACGTAAGGGGCACCTACGTAAGGGGCAGCAATGTTTGTTAGCTAGATAAAAGGTTGCCCCAAGGATCCAAAAATGTCATGCAGGCCACTGTTAAACGATCATAGATGCATACTAAAACCCTAATAGAAAAAGAGCCCTCTCACTGAAAGACTTCATGGTGCATGGTGCATGTGCTACTTCGGCCTGCCAGTCCAAACCACATTAGAGTGCCCATCAAAAGTTCACCAAGCTGACAAATTCCTTAGCACTTAAAAAGCCTTGTAAGACTGAGGGACTTAACTCAAAGCCTAGTTTTACAATCATAACAGATTTACAGGTTGCATCCAGCAGAAAAACATGCGTGGCGACCAGACTATCGAGGTGCTACTACAAGTATGTTGCACCAGCCCCTGGTTTTAATAGGTGATACTCCTCCTTTTAGCTCTAGGGATAGGGTTAGGTCAAATCCTAGGGTTAGGGGTAGACCTAAGTCAAAGCCTATTTCTACAATCATAACAGATTTAGAGGTTGCATACAGCAGAAGAAAATTTGTGGCAACCACACTATCAAGGTGCTACCGTACTACATGTATGGAACACCAGCCTCTGGTTTTAAAAGGTGACCCTTCTCCTTTAAACTCTAGGGTTAGGGTTAAGTCAAAGCCTAGGGTTAGGGTTAGACCTAAGTCAAAGCCTATTTCTAAAATCATTACAGATTACAGCCAATCCTACCCTTTTTTCATTGAAAGTCTTTATAGGGCATGTGCTGCTTCAGTCCATCAGTTGCATCCACGTAGGAGGGCAGATGAAAAGATCACCAAGCAGACAAATTCCTCAGCACTTAAAAAGTCTTGTAAGACTAAGAGACCTAACTCAAAGCCTATTTCTACAATCATAACAAAAAAAAACGTGATCCTTCTCTTTTAAACTCTAGGGTTAGGGTTAAGTCAAAGCCTATTTCTACAATCATAACAGATTTAGAGGTTGCATCCAGCAGAAGAACATTTGTGGCAACCACACTATCAAGGTGCTACCACAAGTATGGAGCACCAGCCCCCGGTTTTAAAAAGGTGATCCTTCTCCTTTAAACTCTACCTCCAGTACGCATTCTACACTCGCAGGATCATCCAAAAAGTTTCTGCAAGGAGTTCATAAGCAGCGTGCTCCAACGATAAAACAAAATAGATCCTTACAATGACAAAAAAAAAAAAATTTGCTTAACCGACATCCAAGCCATCCATCTTGCTAAGCTCGGCAAAAACAGCTTTGCCCGGCAGGATGGCTGAATTTCACTTCTCAACTTTAATTAGCATGACTGATCATACGCACTTTAATAGAAACCTGGGGATTTTTAAAATATATATATAAAGAATCACTTTATTAGCCCAAGAAAGGTCTTATTTTTTATTTAATATCTTATTTATCGATTGCACACATTTTATCAGTTGATGCCTTAAGACGATTAAAACTGCATTAAATTACCATTGAGATGTACAGAGTATAAAACAAAAAATAAATATGTTCTAGTTGTAGAGATGCATTAGTTCACATTAGTGAGTATATTTGTAGTCTAGATTTAAGAAAAAAAAAAAAAAGAAGAAGAGAGATCTATGACCTATGATTACCTCTTGGTGTCACAATCATATATAATAAAAGGTTAATACGCGATCGACGCCTTGACCTTTGGATTTTGAACACACGCTCTGTTGCTTTATTTGGAGATATTTATAGTTTGGATCGTTGAGAACCTCGGGCTTTGCAAGCGCCTCCTGATAGGTGACAGGCAAATGCCACGTACTGCGAGATAAGTACCTTAATCCTCAAGGTATTTTTCATGCACAATAAAAAGGGAGAAAAAAAAAATTACAAAGCTGACTTCAAGATGTTAACGCTTCATAAACCGTTCGGAACACTCGGAATTAAAAAGCACATGAGAAGAAAATAAATAAATAAATATATTGTCACAAAACTGCTGTCACTTTCATGAGCATACTATGTTGGAGATTTGGTTTTATCAAATAAATGTGTTATTGTTTTTATCAAGAGGGTCTGCGTATTGTACTTAATTAACCCCATAGTTCTCCTTTAATGCATGGCACGGCATTGTCCTTCCAATATAGACTCACCAAGCAATATACAATGCCTGGGCAAAAAAAAGAAGTCACACATTCTGATATTTCGTTGGACCACCTTTAGCTTTCTGCACCTTTAGCACCGTTTCGATATTCCTATGCAATGTCTCAACATTTATTTCCATCCAGAGTTGCATTCATTTTTCACCAAGATCTTGTAGTGATGGTGAAAGAGTCGGACCACTCTGTAAAGTCTTCTCCACCAGCACATCCGTAATATCCTCAATGGGGTTAAGGTCTGGACTCTGTGATGGCCAATCCATTAATGAAAGCGATGTCTGAGATGAGACCTAACCAAATGAAGCAACCCCAGATCATAACACTGCTCTAAATCCAGGTGGCAACTTTTTTTTGGCCAGGCAGTTTATATGAACTCTATACAAATACTGGGATGGGTCCTACCTTTGCACTAAAAGCAACCTCACTTCTTCGTGGCATGGGTTACACATTCCATGGACGTTCGGTTGAGATTCTGTAACATGTGGCCATCAAACAATTTCTGCATATTTGTCAGTTGCACATTCTTGTTCCCAATCTCCCATTTAATCACATTCTATCAACCGAATATAGTGACTGGCCCACCATCTGTGTTTATTAGAAACCGAGATTCATAGTACCGGGCTACATGTTTCCAATCTTTAATGAGAACAATGAAAAGGTGAACTAACAACACCCTTCCCACCCCCTCCCAGTCCCTGGTGCACTTATCTACAATGTTGACCATCATCCTCCACCCACACCAGCCCATAGAACTGTCCTTTGAAATGTCACTACAGAGCCCCAGTAGTTGTATAGCAACATCATCCTTGAAATGAGAAGTGGTCTTTGCTCATCGTGGCCAAGTAACCAATGAGCTGGCCAGATAGAATCTCCTCTGATCCTTTCTTCTTCTGGA